TCCGCAGATGACAGCCAGGCACGCCTGTCGACTGCGCAGGATGCCGCTGCGTCCCTTTTTCAGGGTCCGACGATCAGGAAAGCCCACCGCAGTATTCCCACGACCCACGATTATGACGGAAATCAAGGCAGACTCGCATTGCAACATGCAACCCTGATTCTGCTTTCCAGAAACCCCTCGCCTGTTTCTCGATTTTGGCAGCGGTGTGACGTCAGTCGGCCCTTCAGCAACTGTGCTGCAAAGTACCAATGGAGAAACATCAGCATTCTTCCAGAGTTGGAAGGCAGTCGTCGTCTAAGAAGATGGGGTCCGCCGGTGGTCAATCGGCGCAGCCGGACATCGTCAACGGGAAAATCACTACAAGGACGGACCACAACACGGAGCGATCCACCCCGGCAGCGCCGTCTTGGGCACCGGACACCACCTTCGGCTTCGCCGGCCCGGCCCGGAAAGACACAGCCAATCAGTCACGCCACCAGTCGACTGTGGAACAAGCTTTACGTTCCCGACCTTCGCGAGCCGCATCGCTAGCGTGGATCGGGAGCACACAAGGACCCTTCGTGCAGGGTCGTCGCCCCTTTCTCGCCGTCACTTTCCCCCGACCGCACTTTGATCGCCCATTCCGGCCACTTGAAAGATGCCACAAACAAAGGAGGAAAGGTAGGCTTGTTCGAACTCACGGTCCGAAATGATAGCGAAACCTCTCAAATTCCCATTCCCAGCACCAGCTTTCAGCATCGCAGGATTATGCAGATCTAGCAGAATCTCAATCGATACCCTTCACAATGTCTCGATTCACCATCGATGTGGATCTAGCCGCCTAGACCCTCGTCCTGGACAGCACGCGCACGACATGGAGGGGAGTGTAATTCGAAAAGCAGTAAATCCACCAAGAGCTAGGCCATTGGATCGGAGGCGAAGACATCCCCTGGCGATACAGACAATACGGAGTACGGAGTACTACATAGGCTTGAGCTGTCGCGTGCCAGCCAGACTTCCACCCTCGTTGCCCATGTGGCCTTCACCCTGTGCCGGTGCTTCTGCTCCGCGGACGTTTGTCATTCGTGAGAACGTGAGGAGAGCAGCGCTTGCATGGCGCTTGGCAGCTAATCCGTTCTAGGCGACCGGTTTTCACCCATGCTGAGCGAGCGACGAGGTTACTCATCATCCACCTCGGCCTCTGTAGGCCAGACTATGTACGGCTTTGCTTGGGCCATTCCCCACCTCCAATTCGATGAGGATATGCTGGAGATTCAGCTCGGAGCAAACTTGACAGGCACCAAGGGCACCCGCCAGATTTGTGACAGATCAAAAGTTCGATCTTGCAGATGGACCAGAATTGAGGCAATCTTCCCGCTGGCCCAGTGGCGAAGCAACAGTCGTGGCCCAATTGGGGCACTACCACTTTCCTTGCTGTGGTCTACACACTGCGGGCTCCTCCCGACGCGAATGGAGCTTAGGGTTGTCCTGGCACACTCGCATCGACAAGTCACAACCAATCACCTCTTGCAATGGCTTCGGGATGTGCTCTGGATACCATCCATCTGGGCGAAAAGGCCCCCCACCCAGAGAAGAAACACACCAAAAGGTCGTGTGTTGGCCGGGATTCCCTCCTCGTGTGGGGGACGAACTGGAAGTTTGCAGATCCGGCAGAGAGTGGTATTCACACTCCGTGGCTGCCAGGGACAACCCCTTACCTACCCTTCCCCTGGTCAAAGCTGACAAGCACATACAAGCAAGTTAGCCCGATCTTGGGATCGGCGTTGCCAAACTCAGTCGGCTGTCGCATCTCCCCCCCCCCCCCACCATCATCTATCTGCCCATAACGAGGCAGGAAAAGCAAATCGTGTGGAAGACTGCTCGCTTGGGTTCACTGCAGAGAGCAGAGAGGCGCGCTAAGGAGAAGCTTTGTTTCCCAACCTTATCTCAGGTTCGCCGCCCATCTTTCTTTCTTGGGGTATCCGTTTCAGTCCTCATTAGCCACTGAGGGCTCTCGGGAGATCGGTCAGTGTTGGGGCGAGGAGCTGGTGCCACCGTGCCGCAACGCTTCCCCGTGAATTACTCAGTGGGCAGTGGGGAAGAGACGGCGTCCCGGGCGCGGCCGCAACGAACGACAAATTGTGGCACCCTTCTGGTTCTTGTCCAACAAGCGTTGGTGGCATGATGGCTGACATGGCCGCGGTGCGACCCCCCTTAGGTATGTTCCCGCCTTCTAGAACACGATCGCCTCGACCCGAGATCTGAGATCCCGGTAGCGATCACATCTTTTTTTGGTCCGTTCGTTCGACTTCCGAATCCCCCATCTGAGCAGAGATGTGGCAACTGTCAACCTCGCATGTAACATGTTCGTGTCTCTGATCGACGCCGGAGTGGAAGACGAGTTCAGGGCAAGCGTCTGTCTATCCGTAGCACGGTGTGATTGGACAACACAAGATGAAAGAGGGAATGGGCGGCTAAGTAGCTTGAGTCTAGAACTGGGACATAGGCACATAGCTCGCCGGTGCGGTGGGTCCGCATCAGCTAAAACTTGGTTCAGTGCGTTGCAGGTGGGTAATCAGATTGATAGAGTTACAACCTTACGTTCCCAACTTGTATAACTGCCTTGCCCCTCGGTTTTGCTTCCTGCACAGTTGATGTCAATTTATCAATCTCCAAAGGTGGACCGTAAAATGGTTATCGTCGGCAGCTTTTCCAAAGAGTCGTAATATTGAATATCCTACCATCGTATCATGCGAACAGGAATAAGTTGGCCGTGATCCATTCAAAATGAGACATTTACACTTAAATTATAGGCCGATTTCTAGATGTAATTTCGGTCGAGTAGGAAACATTATCAAGTAGCCTATCTGTGCGCCAATCCTAGGTAACTAAACAGCTCTTCTACACAATCTTCCCGCACTCGCATTTATCCAGTATGACAAGTAACAAAAACTTGAGGGCCGCCACCATGCTCACATGGAACGTGGAAATACTTATGCCAACATCATAGGCCAAGGCTCTAATTTCCCAGAGAGCACGAACTCCTGCAAATCATCTCCAGCTCCCTGCCCATAGAATTACTATGATCTTATATTTCTCACCTGAAAGCCCTCCCCACGGCTATCACGGTATCATAATTGCTTGGCTTGTGCCCCTTACTCCAGAAATAGGGAAGAGGTCGCGTGGCTGTTACCGACGTGACGGCCTCGGATCTAAATCAACGACATTGGCCCAATCCAAGCTGAGAACCATCAGCTCATTACGAATTAATCTCTTTGGATATCGCAGGTACGTTTCTGGTTAGGTGTTCTGCTCGGCGGGTAAAATTGGGGGTTCATTCGAAAGGTTCAAAACGATTCTGATGGGGATTGGAAACCCCCATTGGAAAGAATAAACACACAGGCCTGGTGTAGTCATCTGCTTGTGAAGGAAGAACCGCAACGAATATGAGCCCATGACCCGTGTCCCTTCTTAAGCGCAGAACGTTCGTCTCATTATTGACCATGGTTGGACTCGCCGAGACAAGTGACTATACAACCTGCTTGGAGGGCCACATCGTCCGATATCGCCTTCTCAGCAATCTTGACTGTAAGTCTCATTGCGTGTCAAGGTAGCAGATGCCACCATCGAACCGCCACCGGAAACCTGTACCACAATCGATACGTAATCTGAACCGACAAAGACCCGGGGGTATAGCGACGGCCTCGTGACTGACCCGCGGGGCCCGTCCCATATGGCGAGCTACTTGAAGTTTACCAAAATTGCTGCGGCGACGAAGGCTGTGGGGGCTGGGAGAACGATGAGGATTTGGATGACGAGGGCATTCATGGACCAGGGGTATAGCGCGAAGTTTGGCGCGGGCAAAGTAGCCTAAAGCTTCGAAGAGAGTGCCTATGACCGAGCGAAAGCAAGTTGGACCAGATGCGGGCTTTGATTACGTGAGTAGGACTGGGGAGCGAGGACGAGAAAGGTTGAGGCGGGATTCGAGAGAATGGGCGTGATGTGGAAGTTGTACTCTCTTGGATAGGTTCTTTTTTTTGGGGAGAGGGACTTGTTGGTTGTTTAGAAGGCGAAGTAGGTGTCGTTGGCTGCCGTTGAAGGGTGTGAGGATGGGTAATTACTGGATAAGGTAAGCTGACGAAACCCAGGCATCAAACTGAATTTCCATTTTAACGTTATGAATCGTGGAGCAGCCGAAGAGGAAGAAGAATAAGGAGAAGGAGAAGGAGAAGAGGACTTTGAGTACTTGGGAATGTTAGATCTATCATTCCTATCTGAAGACACTTATGACACATTTAATCCAAATACAGATTTCCAAATCTCAGTAATGAGGCTTAGACTGGAGCTATTTGTGTTAGTCTCAGGGGTAATCCACGAAGAAGTCACAACAACATCTTTCTCATCGGGAAATACGAGTATCTTTAGGGCAGGACAGACTTCTGTCAAAGCATGTTGAATTTTGGACTCATGGTGTGCCTGCTACACTTCTTGTACCTGATTTGTACCCGAAGATCTATCTAGTGACCAATAAGACTCTCAAGCGTTCTGAGGCATCGGGATTCTTTGAGACAATAAGGGGTTTTGATGATCGACAAGGCATTGATTAGCCTCATTCATACTTTTGCCTGGTGATAAAATTGTTGTCGCTTAGTACCGTTGCCCGATACGACCGGCGTGAACGTCAAATCCCATCACTCGTAACTATCGCAGGTAGTTTTTTTTCTTTTTTTTTCCCCAATCATGTACTACATATGCAAACACAAAAGAAGTAAATCCGACATGCGCCACCTGAAGAGCCTCAGCTGCTCATGGGTTAATTCTAAGAGCTTACGTGGTGGTGACGTTCTTAGTATACTCATACGAATCCATTTTGGCTTTGGCGTTGGGGAGGATCCACTCATCTGCCGGTTCGAGGCGGGGCCTCGGACCCCGAAAGATTTCCGGACCCGGGATGTCTCCCTCCCCACCCTCTAAAATCCGCCTTACGAGAACCCGGGAGCAAGAGAACGTCAAGCGAAAGTCCCAGATTTTTGCTTTATTTTTACGGATCTTTCGACCACGACATGCACCTTGTTTCCGAATCTTCTCTTTCGTAAGGTTTTGTGTGAAATCGTTCCGATTCGTACAGCTCTCCCATCCCAATCCAACACGCCTCCACGTCCCGTCCGTTACCGCGCCTAATACCCCTTCAATTCGGCGCCAAGGCCCCGCTGTCCACGGTGCCGAAAAGACATGGAAAACCCCGTGATGGTGGTAGCCGACAGCCAGCAACAAGGCAGCCATGAGGTGGCTGCCCGGGCCCTGAGTGACAGGCCCCTGAAGCGCGACCCTGCATGTGTAGAGTGCCGGCAACGGAAACTGAAATGCGACCGAAAGTACCCCTGCTCAGAATGCATCATCGTATGTGCTGTCTCTAGTAACCTCCTCCCCCTTTCTTTGTAGCTCTTATGGTTGTTACCTGCATCTCATTCGCACCATTATCCTCATTGCACATCCTCTACCGTTTCCCTCTCTCTACTAACATGATCTCTCACGCAGCACGGCCGCCATTGCCTTGCTCCGCCACCCTCGGGTCCACGCAAGCCGAGGAGGAAGAACCATCATGAGCTACGCGACAAACTCGCGAGCATCGAGTCCCTTTTAGAGGAATGCATGGGATCGAAGCCAATCGATCTTGCCAATGAAACGCCGCCCGTCCTGATCGACAAAGAATCTCCAACGGACAGCCGGAACCATGATGACCATAGACCTATGCTTCAGTCGCCAGGATGGCTTGTAAACACCAAAAACGGGATCGAATTTCGGGACAGCAAAACGGCGTCTGCGACTCGTGAGGATGTAAGTCAATGCCTTCCATCTTATGGCTCCATGACACTTGGTATTAAAAACCATTCTTTGCTCTGATCATTTTCTAGTGCATACCCACGACAGATCAAGGTTGAGTCATACTGACATACAGTCAACATGGATACAGAAACAGACCATACGTGCCCTTTTTGAGGTGGAAAGCGAGCAATCAACATGGCTTCCTGCTCTTGCCATCCTCAATCAGCACCATGACTCCATAGGCATTCCTCCCGCCTCGGGGCTCTCTTCTAATTGTGTCCCATCTTCACCCAACATCATAATCTTGTGGAGAGTGTTCTTGGACAGAGTCAACCCTGTCACCAAGATAATTCACGTACCGACGTTCCAAGCCAACATTGCAGATGCAGTATCCCACTTCCACGCCATCCCGCCCGTCACACAAGGGCTTTTATTCTCCATCTTCCTGGCAGCATCTGGTTCTCTTTCGCAAAAGGAGCACTGGGAAATGCTACACTGGTCCAAGAAGGATGCCTCGAGGGTTCTGTCTAAAGGCTTTAAGACTGCAATGGCACGATACAACTATCTGAGACGGTTCAACGAAGACACAGTAAGGAGCCTGATATTTTATTCAGTGAGTACCTCATATGAACAATGTCTCACTTCTTATTTTTTTCCAATTATTGCACGTGGCTGACCAAAACGTAGTTACACCAACGAACTTTGAGAGATCTAGTAGATCCATGGATTCTCAACGGTATCGTCGTGAATATAGCTCATCACCTTGGCCTCCACATCGACGGCACGCGCCTCCGCTTCAAACCTTTTCAAACAGAAATGAGACGACGTCTCTGGTGGCAGACCGTTCTGATAGAGGCAAAAACGAGTGCCGCCTCAAGCATCAGTGCCCGGATCCTACCATCCAGTCAGGACACGTGCATCCCGCTCAATGTCAACGACGAAGACCTCCATCCGTACATGAAGGAAGCACCTAGTGCCCGAAAAGGTCCTTCAGAGATGTCTTACTGTGTACATACATACGAAGCGGAATCACTCGCCATGGATATGCAGATCCCGTCCGTCGACGAGGTACTCTGGGGCCAGGCATCCTCAAGCCCGGCTTCGACGCATGCCGCCATGCGTCCGCCGGAACCCTTTGACTCACCCTTCGTCACCGCCATACAAGACGCCTTACAAAGGTTCGACCGGACGCTGGGGCCCCTCGAGCGCCGTCTGCTCTCCAATTCCGCCGCGAACCCGCTCCACGCAATGGCACTCTACGCCCGCACCTCACTCGCCGCCATTGTCGAAAAGGTCATCACGCCGCTAGACGCCGCGCCGGAATGGGGCACGGAGATGCACGGCCCGGACGACAAGTTCTTCAGCGTGGGGCTGATGGTGCTCGAAATTTTGCTTGAGCAACGGCGGCTCGCGGGCCATAAGTTCGCGTGGCTCGTCGACCTCGACTTCAAGATTCAAACGTTTTACTACCTGGGCGCGCAGCTTCAGAACCGGGTATCCGGATCCTTGGCGGACAGGACGTGGGCTGTCATTGAGAAGATGTATGCTTGCCGCGAGGACTTGTGGGAGCTCAAGGATGAGGAGAATATGACGCTGGCGAATCTCTTGATCGTGGCGTGGAGTCGCCGCGCGGAGAATTTTCTGGGCAATCGAGTTCTGCTGCTTGAGCCTCCTCTTGTGACGCGCCTGCGAGATGAAGTTATGATGATCAAGGCTGAGGCACTGAGCCTGTTCTGATGATGTAGGTAAGAACAGGCTGGATATTCGGGGCTAACATTGTCCTCACGGCTTATTTCGCCAGTTTTCGATGCAGATCTCCGGTGGGGTTGAAGTCTTGTGTGTAATGGAGAGCGTGTGGGATGGATCATGACTAAACTGTGCAAATACTTGTAACCTTGAAAAAGGTTTGTACCTCATCTCCTCGTTCCTCCACCGTGCCGCTATGCCGGATACGTGAACAAAGAGACGTCGTGGCTTGGGTGAGAAGTACGGCTAGTGGTGGCTACCTTATTCTAGAGCTTGATTTGGCGCTAATATGTTACACAATGACAATGAGCTTTCAGGGGTATGCTACGGCCTTACAATTCTGAGCCTTTTGACCTCTTTGAGGCGGCTCACCATCTGATATTATGGCAAACACATTAGTCCATACGTAATAAAAAAACCATCCATCAGATGTTAAGCCATACAAACTTAGCATGCAACGGCTGACTCGTCGATAATCACACTCTCTCAGACTACCCAGTAGCCATGTAAAAGACCGAGAGCGAGCCCAGAACGACACCTGGCCGCCAGCTGGCCACCAAGACACTTCATAAGACACAATGGTCAGGATACGAACTGGAGTTCATGACGCACTCGGTCGATTACTTTTCTATCCTTTACACCTCCTCCTTTTGGAAGTTTGGTAGAAACAAATCATCAGTGTTCGCTTTGCCGCGCAATGGTCAACAACGGGCGACCATCGAGATGTTGTTTCCCCTGCAGAAAAAGGAAGCTCCGGGTATGATATACCTCGATAACCCCCCCTGGATCAGCACGTAACTGTGTTCGGCACTTGTAGTTTCTGCGAGCTAATCGACGGGATAAATCTATAGTGCGATCTCGCGCCTGGAGGATGCGGGCAGTGTCGGAGAGCCAAACTGAACTGTCATGGGTACCGCGACTCTATCCAACTTCTCTTCCGTGACGAGACCAAAATCACGGCTTCCAAGGTCTCGGCCCGATTAACTGCTGCTGCTGCTGCTCGCTCTCACGTCTCGATACGGGATACTCCCAATCCCACATGGGAGGACATCTCCCGCGACACCTTTCTCTCCCTCTACGTCGTCGGGCTCAGCCACACCTTCGATACCCTCCCCGCTCTCCTGACAAACTCCCCGCCCAGCAGCCACTTACACATCAGCCTCGGCGCAGCTGGTCTTGCCTTCATGTCCTTCCACCTCAACCGGCACGATCTACTCCTCCTCGCCAGCAAGAAATACGTCGCTGCCATTCGGAGCATCAGATCGGCACTAAACACTAGCAACAACAGCGACTTGCAACATGGCAACAACAACGACGAAGTCATCCAGTCAGCACTCCTCCTTGACCTATACGAGAAGATTGCCAACCGCCATGAGCACCAATCTGCATCGTGGCTGAGCCACGCCCGGGGCGCTCTCCATATGGTCTGCGACCGCGCTAACACTGACTTCTCCAATCCGACCACCTGCCAACTCGCCAACAACGCCACCGTAGTCCTCATGAAGAGCTGCGGCATCGCTGGCGTCCCCGTACCGCCCTCGCTGCTGGCCCTGCGCGAGGACCTCAACAGCTACGTCCGCGACGCCAAGTGGAGCTTCACGGGTCTCGTCGTCGGCATCGTCAACCTTCGCGCCTACATGCAGGGCCTGGCTTCGGGCGCAGCCTGTCCGAACGTGGTGCTGCGCCGGGCCAAGATCTTGGACGAGCACATGGCTCTCGTGGAGAAGCGGCTTCAGCGCTCGTGGAAAGCTACGCGGACTTTCACGGTTGCGTATAACCCGCTCATCTTTGGGCGTTACTACGACGTCTATCCGAGTCACCATGCGACGCAGGTTACCAACGCTGTTCGGATGATGCGTTTGGAGTTGAACAGCATCATTCAAGATGTGGGCCACAACGAAGAGCCCACCATGGCGAGTCTGACCCGAGAGATTATCCAGGAACTCACTCGGCACTTGTGTGCGGCCGTGCCCCAGTTTTTGCTGTTGATTGGGGATGAAGCAACCAGCTTACCAGTATACACCCTACCACCGCTACAGAGGCTACACTGTTGTACAATGTTGACGCCACTGTACCTTTCCTTTTGTCTCACAGAAGATTCGTATATGAAGGAATGGATTTCGCAGATTCTTCTGTATATGGCGGAACACGGAGTCAAGTTGGCGAGTGACGTTTTCCAGGTGATATCGTCAGGTAGACTTGTAGATTATTGGGTTCTTTATGCCATAGTTGGTAGCTATGCCATTGCAGCTTGATGAAAATACAGCCAAGCTCGTTAATCATGACTTTAGTACTGTGACAGATGTTTGCGAGTGGACACTCTATCATTTGAAAGAAAATTGCGCTTGCTTTTGGTGACCACAGGTCCTTGAAGCTGGGAAGAAGAACGTAGTTTGTACATAGATTAACATTCTGTGTTTACACGCTGATCCACAACATGGAAACCTCGGGTGGTGCCAGGATCTCTTAGATCTGCCTCTTGTTCAGTCGCTTTGTGGCCCAACAGAACAAGAGATTAGCTGAAGTAAGGGCAATTCAGCGTTGCAGCATGCCAGCATTATCCACAATAACGGGAGCTCGGTGGAGGCCTATGTGTGAATTGTCCGAGATGGTCGGGCCGATTCGTAGACTGCCAAAGGCTCCGGCCGGCTGCTACCGCTGCATGACAGTGCCATCCATCCCGGGGGTTGCTGCAACAGATCTCATGATGACCTACAGGTTGGCAATCGCAGTAAACCCGAAAACGTAAACTTCAATCGTTCCCTTTAATTTCAGAAGCTCAGATGATATTCCGTCTAAGTAGAGTTTTAGAGTTTACAATAACGGAACGCTAGCCCTTTGGGGTTAGTATCACTAAGTGCTTATCCAGGACTTCGGGAGCACTTGCAGGGTTCATGTCTCGATTCAAACGTTGCTCGGCTTTTTTGGCACATGCCTGGCGATTGTCTATCTGGAGCGAACAAGACAAGTAGCTTGCCAAAAGCGGGCGAATTTGAGGGCGACATGAATAACTTCATCGGTGTTTTGTTGCATTTTTACTCCGACATTTTGAGCCAAAATGTATCTCGGGAAAACCTTTCTAAACTCGTCGGGTCAGAGTCAAGTCGCATAAGAAGTTTAGCATTTGCCGTTCCAAATGTGATGTTAGTGGTTGCTGCACACGTTTCTCGAAGCATACCACGTCGCCTTCTCAAGTTCTTACGCCGAAATCAAAGCAAGCCTCAAAACTCCAGAAGCGAAAAGATGCCTTTTTCATACAAGACAGCTCTCATCACTGGCGCCACATCCGGGATCGGCTATGCTTTGGCAGAGCGCCTGATCGCGAACGGCGTCTTTGTTATCGCGGTAGGTCGCCGCGCAGATCGCCTCGAGCAAATGCTGTCCAAGCACGGGAGCTCCAAGGTTGCCACCGAGGTCTACGATGTTTCTGATATCGATGTCATTGAATCATGGATCAAAGAGTAAGTGGGTCTGAGAGCCTTGGTCCGCTTCAACTCCTAAACCGATCTTCCCTGTCTCGTCAAGAAAGCAGTCTTCAAACACCCCACCTACTATGTTGTATATCGACTGATTATGCATATCGCCCAGAATGACAACCAAGTATCCCAAGATAGACTGCCTTATACTCAACGCAGGAGTTCAAAACACCTTTGACTTCACGCCCGCCCTCCTAGAAACAGCTAAAAACGAGCTAAACCTGAACTACCTCTCCCCGCTCATCGCAACCACGCACATCCTCCCCCACTTCGAGTCCCTTCCCAAGCCGACCGCCGTCATCCTGGTGACCTCGGGCCTGGCCATCGTGCCCATGCCCCGGTGCGCGAGCTACTGCGCCAGCAAAGCCGCACTCCGATCACTGACCTGGAGTCTGCGCGCCCAGCTCGCCGATCGCGGGCCTCGCGCCGAGAATACCCGCGTCATTGAGATCGTTCCGCCGGCTGTCAAGACGGAGCTTCATACGCGGCAGGCAGACCTAGTCGCGGCGGGACGTGCTGGCGTGGGCATGCCGCTGGAGCAGTTCATTGACGAGACATGGGAAGAGTTGGAGAAGGGCGAGGTGGATGATATTATTATTGGGCAGGCAAAGCATTATGCTCGTGGGGAGGAGGAGAGGAAGAAGGCTTTCAATGGATTGCTTGCGATGTTGAAGGGGAATTGAGTTGGGAGCTTTGAGTGACTATGACTTATCATCTGAGACAAAATTTATCTACATTTTCTATCGGCAAGTCTCGAATTACGCTAAGGATACTTTGAATCTAGAAGTAATTACTATGAGCTCACTTGAGTTGGGGATAACTATGGAAATAGTCTCTCATAGCAAGTCCCCCGAACCGGCAATCTATCAGTCATGAGTAAGGAGAAATTTTCTTTGAGACAATAGTGGTCTGTTGTTGATTTCTTTAGAGTTACACTTGCTATGATTTTTGACCTTAAACCCAAGTCAAAGCAAAACAGATCTGAGCTACATATCATTCATTAACCTTAGCCACCTCTCCATTCGCACCGTTTTGCTACCAAATCATCTTTCTGTCGCCAAAGCTCTGATAGGTTTCAGTCCCACATGATTCACGACTAATTCTCTCAAGTCCCGAAAGATTACCAGCCACTATCATCGGCGACCTTGTCACAGGATACGCTTAGATGGCAGGGGGACGAGCCTGCTGGTTGGTGGCAGGAGGAGGGGGAGGGGGTCTCTGGTTGGGGTCGACAGCCCGAGCGCCGTTGGGCTTGGGAGGAGGAGGGGTGTTGTCGTTGGCCGGGGGAGGAGGAGCCTGAGCCTGCTGGTTCGGGTTCACGGCCCTGGCGGCGTTGTTAGGCTTGGGAGGAGGAGCCTGTTGGTTCTCCGCGGGAGGAGGAGGAGGAGGCGCCTGCGCATTGGAGTTGACGGCTCTGGCGTTGTTCGGCTTAGGAGGAGGAGGGGTGTTGTTGTCCTTGGGGGGAGGAGGAGGAGCAGCCTGAGGGTTGACCGCTCTGCGGTTGTTGGGCTTGGGAGGAGGCTGCTCGTTGTTGGCCGGGGGAGGGGGAGGCTGCTGGTTGGGGTTGATTGCTCGCGCTCCGTTGGGCCTCGGGGGAGGAGGAGTGTTTTCGTTAGCGGGAGGAGGAGAAGGAGCCTGGGCCTGCTGGTTGGGGTTCACCGCCCGGCGGTTATTAGGCTTAGGAGGAGGAGGAGTGTTATCGCTGGCGGAAGGGGGAGGAGGCTGCTGGTTCGGGTTGATGGCTCTGGCACCGTTGGGCTTAGGAGGGGGAGGCGTGTTGTCCTTGGGAGGAGGGGGAGGAGCAACCTGAGGGTTCACAGCTCGGCGGTTGTTGGGCTTGGGAGGAGGAGGCTGGTTTTTGTTCGCCGGAGGAGGGGGAGGTTGCTGGTTGGGGGCCACGGCTCTGGCAAAGTTGCCGTTCCCAGCGTTGTTGCCGTTGTTCGCGGTGTTTGCGTTGTTGCCAGCCGCATTTCCGTTGGCACCCGCAGCTCCGTTGTTCACATTGTTCGCATTGCCGTTATTGGCATTGTTGGCGTTGCCGGCGTTGTTCCCAGCGTTCGCGCCGTTTCCGTTGTTTGCGTTGTTGGGGTTGGCATTATTAGGGTTGTTGTTGGTGTTGGTAGGACGAGGAGGAGGGGGCTGCTGGTTGTTGTTGCCGGCGTTGTTGTTATTGTTGTTGTTGCCAGCATTACCGGCGTTGCCAGTGTTACCTCCGGCTCCGGCTCCGGCTCCATTGCCGGCACCTCCGCCGTTACCACCTCCGATGGCACCAGCACCGCCCTGAGGAGCGGGAGCTGAAAGCAAGAGTGTCAGTCACTGATTTTGTAAGATGTCCATGAGAGTACTTACCAGTCAAGGCATTACCCGTGAGAAGGGCAATAGCGAGAACGGTGAGAGTGGTGTAACGCATTTTGACTAGGTATTGAAGACTAGATCAAGAAAGTCGAGTAATGACAGTATAGAGGTGAGAGAGAGAGTTGGGTATCGTCGAAAGAATCGAAGAAGTGAAGAATCGAGAGAAAATAGTGAATATGACTAAAGTTAGATGTGCACAGCACGGGAGAAGGTTGAAGAGTTAGAAAGGATGTTGAGGTAAAGTTAAGAAACTGTTGATGAGAATGATGAGAAAAAAAAGACTCGCTTTCCATCGAGGTCGAATCAGTCTTTATAGTCAGATTGATTCCCAAGACTTGTCACGATCGGCGAGCAATATGAAAACTTTCAGCTCCACCGATCCCATCATCCAGCTCGTCTCATGTTGCCATTCAGCTGACGTTTCCCCCAGGGCCGTGTTTGCCGATGTCTAGAACGCCGTGTCGAAGCATAGCCCGGCATGTCGAACACTTGACGGGCTGTGGGCATCACGACATCGCCAACCCAGCATCTTGCAACATCGGGAGTTTAGATGGCATGTCGTCGTCCACCAAACCTCAAACGAGCATTGACGTTGTCTGCAAAGGCGTGTGAGGGCCTGCGATGGGCCTCATGGGAGGATGAACCCAGCCCCCAATCGAACGATTACGAAGCTTGAATTAGGTAAAAGTCAACAGAAAGGAGACTAGCCCGACGTCTAACGAGAATAACAGATTCGGCAGAGCCCCAGAGGCCCCCCCCCCCCGGGAATGTGGCTCTGAGCCTCAATTCTCTATTGAGGCTTGGCTCCCTCTTGCCGTTGTGGTCCTGCCGGGAAGCCTTGTGGGGAGAGGAGCGGGAGCTTGTTTTCGGGGACCCATCCGGTTCGGAGAAAAGAGTAACAGTAGTGGGAAAAGACTTGAAAGGGGTTCAAACAAGGAGTCGCATCACGGAAAGCTGGGGGTTTCTGAGCTCTGACGTTGCCATGTAGATTCGCAATCCTCTTTGGGCCTTTGCGGTCCCCGCATTTTCGTGTTTCGACTGATGCTGTGACATGCCTACCGGGGGGGCAGGGGGGAGCCGCACCGATTGATTGCGCGGCCCGATCTACAACGTGATGTGGGAGACAACCCCGGCGTCGATGGCTAAATGCGGAAACTTCTGGGATTTTTAGAAGCTCATTTTTCTCCAGATCTCTCCAAGAGGTGGTGAGGCTGAAAAAACTTGTAACGTGAGCGCATTGAACGAGACTCGGTTCTTCAAACATTCTGGATATTGTTCGTCATCCAAGTTGGAAAATCATAGGTGGCTGGGCTGCACCGCCTCACCAATGGAAGGTCCGAAGTGTAAGGGGCATGAGAGCAACATATGATGTGCAGCAACAATAACACCGTTAATTATGATCATCGCGACTTACAAGAGCCTCCCGAGGCTACGTATGCC